CCGCCATCGGGATTGAATGTCGCGGACGAATTTTCTTCCTCTTATCATCAGGAGTCGGATCTCTTCCTGTCAGCCGGCCTCCTCCATTTTGTTTTCATTTTGTTTGTTAAAATAATCAACTGTAGATCATTTATGTGGTCAAAGAAGAAGAAAAACTATTTCTAACCACGATATTTAGCATCGTAGCCGTATGTGTCTACAAATTAACCCAATAATAATCATTATACACTTGCACGGATGCAACTAAAGTGAAATTTTAACTTGCACACTCTTGATTTGTTGGTCTCAGTCTGCAGCTCTGTGCACGATGACGTAGATAAGTAACCAAAGAAAAGCCTGGACTTGAAATGAGGCGTTTCAGGCTGATAGGAAACAAATTTTAAACCTTTTGCATGGACTCAGTAAGTTTGCAGACCTGTTAAATACACAAAAAGCAATGAACGGGACCTAAAAAGCAAAATAAGGGCTCTTGAGCAAAACGCAGCAACACTGACAACTGATCTCCTCCGTTTGGTTATTTTTTTAGAAAAGAAAAACAACTATTTCTAACCACAATATTTAGCATCGTAGCCCTACATGTCGGCTGGAGGATCTCCAAATCAGCCTAATCATCATCATACACTTGCACAAATGCAACTAAGTGAAATTTCAACTTGCACACTGAATTTTTGGTTTGCAGCTCTGTGCACGGTGACGTAGATAAGTAGCAGAAGAAAAGCCTGGACTTGAAATGAGGCGTTTCAGGCTGATAGGAAGCAGATTTTAAACCTTTTGCATGGATTCAGTAAGTTTGCAGACCTGTTAAATACACAAAAGCAGCGATGAAAGGGACCTAAAAAGCTAAATAAGTGCTCTTTTGCAAAATGCAGCAGCACCGACGCCTGGTCTCCTCCGTTTGGTTATTTTTTAGAAAAGAAAAACGACTATTTCTAAAAACAGTATTTAGCTTCGTAGCCCTACATGTCGGCAGGAGGATCTCCAAATTAACCTAATAATCATCATCATACACTTGCACCGATGCAACTAAGTGAAATTTAAACTTGCACACTGAATTGTTGGTCTCATTCTGCAGTTCTGTGCACGGTGACGTAGATAAGTAACTTAGGAAAAGCCTGGACTTGAAATGAGGCGTTTCAGGCTGATAGGAAGCAGATTTTAAACCTTTTGCATGGACTCAGTAAGTTTGCAGACCTGTTAAATACACAAAAAGCAGCTATGAAAGGGACCTAAAAAGCTAAATAAGGGCTCTTTAGCAAAATGCAGCAACAACGACAGCTTCTTTGACTTTAGTTTGGAGCCGACTCCCAGTACACAAGTCTCCTCCAGTGGGTCAGACCAGTTCAAAGTTGTGAAATCATTCTCAGGTAGTCTGCTCCTCCGGCTGCCAGAAGCGCCGGATTAATCCTGATGTAACGCTTTTCTCCTTATGAAAGCGTCTCATTAGGCAATTAGATCATAAAGTTTTACGAGCTCCGGTGTAGAAATCCTGGAGGTCGCCGCTGTGCCGCCTCCCCGAACGCTGACTCTGTACTCACACAGTCCGTGAGTCACTCTGTTGATGTTTCACAATGAGCTCAGGGAGCGTTTTCACAAATACTCTCCAGCTGGCTGTTTGCTGCTAATTGAGTTTAATTGCTGAATGATTTCCCGGTGAGCTCTTGGAATCATATCATACGGTAGATGTAAAGATTCTCCCCCTAATGTGGAGATTTGGGCGAGTAATGCGAAGCCGTTACATTAAAGTGATTGAAAATGTTGAAATGTTTGTTTGTCTTATTTCCCTCCGTCGGGCTCCGCCGTGAAGATTTTTGATATTCTCCTTTCAGGCCCGAACAATTGGCCTTAACAAGCTGTTACTCGCATGCTGTGTGCACACGAGGTGATAAGGCAGCGGCGAACGAGTGACGGAGCGCAGCACAACACGACACACAAGCCGTCATAATGAGAGGATCCCAAACACAATAGCCGGAGCGTCGCCGCACCGTCGCATGAATTAAGTCTGATCACAAAAGCGTTCAGCTGAATTTCTCCGCCATTAAGTTTCCCGACGTATTGACTCAGATGTTGTGTTTAAATCTTCGCTGAAGGCTTATGTAAGATAGTCGATATCTTTGTTGTGCTCGCGTCTCGGCGGCTGTTTTTCACTTTCTTTGTGCCTCGATACACAAAAGCCCTTCTAGCTTTGTGCCGTTTTAAAGTCGCGACAACAAAAACAGGTTTTGAAATAAGGGTAAGAGGACCCACTTGGCGGCGGGTCCCACCACGTCCTGTTTAATCGTGGTTGTTATCTTTTTACACTTTATTTTTACACTAACATTTCATTTATTTATGTTCAACACTTTGTATGACTTGTTACATACAGTAGAAACCAGAAGTTTACTGTTTAAAAAGACATAAAACCTTTTTTTCCCTCACTCTCTGACATTAACTCAGACTAAACTTTTCCTGTTTTAGGTCAGTTAGGATTACAAAAATTATTTCTATTTGCTAAATTGCAGAATAATGACAGTGAGGCTGTTTTATGTGGGTACAGGACTGGTTCCACTGTGGATAATGACTCTCTGAGCAGCTTCAGCAGCATCTTCACAAAGTCTTTAGCTTCTGTTCTGGGGTTGATTTGCACCAAAACACTTCATCTCTGGGACACAGAACCGTCTCCTTCCTGAGCACTATGATGGCTGGACATCCCCATGGTGTTTATACTTGATGTAACTGTCTGAACAGATAAACGTGGAACCTTCAGGCATGTGGAAGTTGAACCCAAGGACTGGTGGAGGTCCATGATTCTCTTCCTGATATCTTGGCTGATTCCTATTGATTTTCCATGTTGTCACAAAAGGACGCAGCGTGTTTGAGGTGTGCCTTAAAATACATCCACAGGTGTGCCTCCAATTAACTCAAATGCTGTTAATTAACCAATCAAAAGCTTCTAAAGCCATGACATCATCATCTGGGCTTTCCCTAATTGTTTGAAGGCATCTTAGTGGATGTAAACTTCAGACTTTGAAGAAAGTAGTAAAAAAAAATCTCTACAAAATTCTCTCTCTCATTATTCTGCCGTTTAGCCAATAGAAATAATTCTGGCAATCCGAACTGACCTAAAACAGGAAAGGTTTAGTCTGATTTAATGTCCAACAGTGAGGAAAAAAAAGGTTTTATGTCTTTTTATACAGTGTGTGTAAACGTCTGGTTTCAACTGTATATAAATTTCGTTCAATGTTTTTGACGGCATCATCTAGTGCTGCCACAGGCGTCTTTCTGGGTGTTTCTCGGTGGATTTCAGTTTATTAAAATTATTATATACAGTCACATTTGACCAATTTGGCAATATAGATATTTATATATCAGAGAGTTAGTCTTTTTAATGAGCAGTGTGGCTTTGAAACGGCATTTAGAGCAACCTGTTGGTGAATAAAATAAGGCAAAAAATATTAGTGAAATGTTTCCTAAAATATATAAAAACTAAAGTGAAATATAAAATGAGAAGAATTCAGATCCTTAAATTAAAGAACCAATACAGCAATGTAAAAATACTCTATTAAAAGTAAAAGTTCTGCATGAAAAATCCTACTTAAGTAAACGTACATAGCAGCAAAATGTAGTTTGCAGTAAAACTCCTGGTTTGAATTTATTATAAGTGCATCATTATATTATTAACGGTGAAGCGTCAGTGTGTCAGCAGCGGGTTACTGTTGGAGCTGCTGCAGGTTTAAACTGCTTTAAATCCAGTTTTATATTCAGGAGACAAACCCGAATAAAATCAAGTTTATTTCTACAGCACATTTGAAAACAGCCTGAGTTGACCAAAGTGCTGCACGTGTTGGAACAATAAAAAAAAAAAAGTGCACGAAAGACAGACAGGACAAAAGAAAAATTTGTTAAATAAATTAAAATGATTTTCCAAAATAAATAAATATAAAATACTAAAAACTGAGACCACTAAGTGAAACAGAAAGCCACTGAAAACCTTCTTGTCTTGAGATTTTTTCTTCAAAGTGTCGATGAAGGAGGAACATTTGATTGAAAGAGAAGCTGTTCAGCAAAAGTAGGAAAAAAAAAAAAACAAACGCTCTGACTCACAAATCTGTTTGCAGCTTTTGGACTTTTTCCTCTCATCTTTAATTTTTAATATATTTTTTGAACATTTATTGAAATATGAGAAGTTAAGAAGGAAAAAAGCACCATTTGATGCAGCCCAACTACACGCTGCGTTCAGAATAAACGGTTATTAATCACTAATTTATGCAATCTAGTGTGGTATTTTAGGAAGCTGCTCATGTTTTGTTTGAAGACCAAACTAGCCGATAGATAGGAGTAATTCAAAAAGGCTCTGGTGCATCGTAGATAAGTCCCAGAAGAAAAGCCTGGATCTTCTAATGCAGGCGTTTCAGGAAGGTTCGTCTTTTCTGTGGGAGGAATGTGGAGGAGCACCGAATCTTTAGTTTTTTTTAAACACTATCTCGTCCAAACAGGTTATTTTTGGCAAATTTAAACACGAGACATGATTTATTTCTTTTTTAATATGTAAAGTGAAACAAGTCTTTCAAACCTTTGTTGATCAGAGGATTTATTTGCGAGCCTCAAACCAACCGTGAGGCTCAACAAGTGTGAACATTTGGGCTTTATGTTTTGTATCCATCCATTTTCTGTGCTAACCACTAAACCGCCCTGCTTTATGTTTTGAAAGTGTTGATAACTTGGGGGTCTGAGTTTATATTGCAAGGTAGGCGTTACGCAAACGTGTTGCATGGTGACGTAAATAAGTAACGGAAGGAAAGTCTGGACTTTAAATGAGGTGGTTCAGGCGAATAAGAACCAGTGTTCTCTGTGAGATTAAATCACTCCCTTTGGTGTGAACTTTGAGGTTTGGAGGTTTGCTGATCTTTTCATGCACAAAAACGTCTAAATAACGCACTGACGGAAACCAAAAACCCCATTTGTTGTTTTTTAAAAGCAGGGCAGCCTTGAGTTTTGACCTCTTGTCCGTCTCTTCCCTCCAGGCCCCGCGGGGAAGCATGTGATGACTCACGCCAGGCAGAAAGGTTCCCTCCGGCAGAGCCACAGCGGTGCCGAGTGGTGGGACAGCAGCCATCTTTGGCCACATGGTGGCGCGATGGGCGGCGCCTGGCCTGAGCGCACGCTACGATTCGGCAGGACAAAGAAGATAAGTGAGGTCGTCAAACAGAAGAAAGACGCGTCCAAGAGGATGAAGGACAAGAAGGGACGAGCAGAAAGGTCGGATCAGAACAGAAAGCTGGACCGGAGGCGGGTCAAGAAACGGGACAGGAAGCTGTATCCTCTGCGAGGTCGGGCGGCCGCTTCAGACGGAGAAGGACTCAGCTGCCACGTCCTCCTCACCCGACTGGAGGAAAGCATTCGACAAAAGGCCATCTCTAAAGAAAAGGAAGGAAAAGATGGCCGCAGACACTCATCTGTCAAATCCAAATCCAAAAAGGGGAAAAGTAGCGAAAGAAAAGAGGCAAAGTCGTCACCAAAAACCAAATTAAAATCAAGCAGCCCAAGTTACAGCGAGTGTGTCGGGTTGGGAGTCCTGCAGCCTCGTAAGCGCAGACTGGCTTCTCTCAACGCTGAAGCAGTGAACAGTCTGCTGCTGGAAAGAGCCACCGACCCCCAGCCGGCCGCCAAACAAGCCAGGAGACAGGAGGAACCCGCCAACGGAGGGGCTTCCCTGGACGCAGATCCAGCCAGAGGTGGCGTCTCTGCAGGTCTGAAGGCTTCACGGGGAAATGTCAGTAAAGTGTCTCACGAACTTGAACTGTGCCAAAGCTCTAAGCCGGTCAAGAAGGCCAAAGTGACCCGGCGTGACGGGGGGATGAGTCAGGAGTGTCTGGACGCTCCGGCACCCAGACGACTGGCCGGACTCAACGCCGCCGCCCTGCTGAAGCTAACCAGCTCCTCTGCTACCAGTAAGCAGAGAGTAAAAGCTGCCCCCAGCGCCACCGTCACATCTGACTCGACCCCGAAGCAGCAATCCAGGGTCAAACTCCAACACAAGGGACGCTTACCGAAGCAGAAGGGGAAGGAGGCGCCTCCCCCACACAGCGGCTGCTCGGCCTGCAAGAAGAAGGCGGACTTTGAGCCGAAGGTGGAGTGGGAGACCGGCTGCACCCACCGACTCACCAAACCCGGCTACCAGTCCCGCAGCATGCTGGCGTATCCGCTGAAACAAGTGAAGGAGGAGCAGATGGAGACCGAACTGAGCTCTTACTACTGCTGCCCCCCGGAGGGCTCCGTGGAGTACTGCCACCGCCTGGCCTTCTTCCTCGGCCAGCAGCCCTACGGAGAGTCCGACGACCAGCCGCTGAACTCGGCTATGACCCCTGTGAAGCGCGAGTGCCTCGTAACCTCGCCGTCGCTGACGCACTCCCACCCCCACACCGCCCTCACCCTCAGCCCTCACCCCTGCCTCTGCACCGCCGACCACTGCTTCTCCAGCTACTACGTCCACATCGCCCACCCGACACACACTGGAACCACTTCGGCCTCGTTGGCGTCGCGACCTCTGAACTTTTCCCCCTCCGGCCTGTGCCCCAGTCGTATGAGCGGCAACAAGCTGATGGGCCGGCAGGTTCCTCACCCGTCGGGGTTGGCCCACCCGGCCTACTGCAACTCTTCGCCCTGCTACGGTGAAGCCTGCGGGATCAGCGGCTACACCTACAGAGCGATGCCTCCCGTCACCAGCAGGGGGTGTTCTTTCAGCACAGGATGCACTGGATGCACGCACAGCATCAAAACAGGTGAGTGGAAAATGGAAATGTTTTTATGAACATGAATCAAGTGACAAAACTAAAGAGTCCCTTGTTGTTGACCCTCTGAACCAGCACTGGTGTTTATGGCGCTTTACTTTTTCTACCTGCTTTGTTTCATATATGTTGCTTTTTATGTCGTGCGGTTTTTCTGATTGTGATGTTGGGTTGATTCTGTTTGATGAGGATGTTTTGTCATTTTAAATCCACTGATGGGCGCTCGCAAATTCATTGGATTATGAATATAATGACAGCAAAGTCATCTTATCGTATCTTATCTCTAAACAATTTATTAGCGTTTCTTTGCTCTATTTATAGGGATGAGCACAATAACTTGGCTAAACAATTAAGTGTTGCTACTTGCTAGTTGGCACCAGAAATACGAGTTGTTTAAACAAATTATTCATGTTTTATTCTTGCACAATACTGGTTACTTAAGATATCATGCAGTCGTTTGTGTCCTGCCTCTCCTTCCTCGTAAACCAACAAGTTGGACAGGCGTCATCTCATTGAAACAGGAAATCCAAGCAGTTTTTTTGTTGTTGTTGTTTTTCTCCATTTTATCAGGATGTGCATAAACAGTCGACTTGACAGTTACCCGTTGCTTCCCTCGTTATTTAGCACCCAAATACAAGCTGGGCAAAGTTATTGTAAATACAGTAAACAGTTGAATTTAAGATGTTATGCAGCCGTTTGCGTCCAGCTGAGGTTGTAAACCAACAAGGTAAAGGTGGGACAGATGATGTCTCCAGAAACCAGTGCAGTTTGTCAGTTTTTTCATCTACAAAGTGAATGCACTGGGATTCTTTTTTGTAGGGTAATGTTCCTATGTGCAACGTGTCGCACATTTTTGTAGAGTTTAAAATATGATTTAGTTATTGAAGAATGTGATGAACAGGTTGACCCTGTTTCTTTGCTCCTGCCACATTTTTACTCACAGTGGGTTCGTTTTTCACTGCAGTAATAAAGCCTTGCACCACCACGTCTAGAAGGAGAGAAAACTGGAATCAATAAGTGCCTTTTTCAACCTCTACCAACTAGGAATTGTCACATATTCTGCTCATCAGCTGCAGAACCATGTTTCACCAGGCTGAATGTGTCTTCCAACAACTTGCTCCTCTGTTTACTGTTTTTGAGCCATGCTGCGCTCATTTTGTTGATCCAGCATGTTCTGTTTTCCTCTCAGACTCTCTTGTCGTCTCCTTTCTGTTTTGTGGAAACACTGCCTGCAGCTCAGCCAAATGCTCAGTACATTTTTTTTTTTTTGCTGCATCACTGTCGGTCAGAGTTGAGTCAGTCGTAGCTTCTCGTTTGAGTACAAAATATTTAGTTTTTTACTGTGTCTGGTCCGAACGCTTTGTTTTTGGTGATATTTAAAATTGAGACATGCAGAATAAAGAGATTTTAATAAAGTATTGTGGCTTTAAGTTAAGTTAAATTATTCAGCATCACTCATGATGCGTTCAAGGTCTCATCAGATGTGCAGATTCTCCTCTAATGGTGTCATTTTTGTAAAGGAAACACACCTTTCAAACCACCTGGTGGGTTTTGGGACTCAAGAGTTTAAACAGAATTTTTATGCTTATTTTTGACTATTTTTAAAAAAATCTAACTGTACTCACATAAAATGTTTTCATAGAGTTTTTTGCCACAATAAATGTTGTGATCTTGGAGTTTGTTTTTTTTAAATTCACAAAACAAAACTTGCCTTTTAACCCTGCTGGCTGGTTTTGGGGGATCAGAGGATTAAACTGTTTGCCTCAGCGGAGTTGTGAAGCCCAACAAGTGTGACCATCGATGTTTTATGTTGTTTTTGTTGGCTTGAGCTTTGAAAGCGTTTATAGCTGGAGGGCTTGACTTTATCTTGATAAGGAGCCACAGACCTGTTGTTTTCTGTAACAAATGTGTTTTATATATAGTTGGACTGATAAATAAGATAACATAAGTTTTTAAGCAGAGTCACAGGGGAACCGTGCAGTTTTTTTTTATAGTTTATATAACCTTTGCTAAACAGCAGCATGCAGTGAGACAGGAGAGCAGGAACAACGCTGTTCATCACTTAAGAATTCATCTGTAAGCGGAGGGTTGTGTTATTTGGTTTGACTCTCACCCTTTGCTCTTCCAGAGGGTTACTCCTCCCCTCAGGGTGAACACAGCCCCTCTCTCCTGGTTCCCCCCTCCATGCCCATCTCCAGCTGCCCTCTATCCAGCGTGCCCACGTCCACTCAGACCAAACCCCACCTGCTGACCCCGCTGTCGGGGCGGGACCAGCCCCAGGCCCGGTTAAAACTAGCCAAGGAATGTCCACAGAGCACCAAACCCTCCAATGGCTCGCTGTCCATCGGACGCACAAGACTGACGGCCAAGCAGCCGTCGCCGGTGCCGAGTCTGAGCGGCACCAAGCAGAAGAAAGTGAGCCGCAGACGAGCCACCAACGGCTGGCGGCCCGTTGGGATGCCCACAGAGAGGGAGGTCTTCATCGCGGTAGGTCGACTGTCTGAACGTCTGTACTAGTATTCTCTAGTATACTTGATCGTATAGTAGAGACCTGAGCATGTGCGTGTCTGCCTCGCACAAGGACAAGCTCTTGAGGGAAAAGATAATTGTGTTTTGACCGTGCAGCTTTGCGTGACAGATTCCTTTTTGTCTTTATAATGAGAATTACATCTGTCCTCATTGTGTTTGCGTCGCAGGGAGAGGATGAGACGGCCCTGCGGCAATGTTATGAAGGCGTGGAGAGGGACGGTGAAGTGATTCGTGTCAGAGACACCGTGCTGCTACGATCAGGCCCCAGGAAGAAATCCCTCCCATATGTTGCCAAGATATCAGCGCTGTGGGAGGACCCCAAAACAGGTGAAGGAGATGAGGAGGAGGTTTGTGCACATGGATGGATGGCTGGCCGGACATATGGTCAGTGTTGTTTACCTGAGTGTCCGTGTGCTGCTGCAGGAGAGCTGATGATGAGCCTTTTCTGGTACTACCGACCCGAGCACACCCAGGGAGGCCGAGATCCCAGCACACACTGTGAGGTGAGGCCTGAGCGAGCGGACTGCAGCAAAGATTAATTTCTCCCACTGGGGTAGATGACAGTTGTTCAGGCACACAGAAGAGCAAACAAACAGTCGGGAGGAACAAACCAAACAGAATGAAAAAGATTAATTAAAATGCAGTCGTATAATTAGCGTTGTTCCAATCTTTTATGGAGGCACAAAGGTGCAAAATTCAATAATAAACAACATTATAGGATCACTAATTAAAAGAGAATTCTGGCTTGTTTCAACACGCGCCATTTCCATTCATGTGGATTTTGTGGTGATGCTATCTGCCTTCATGTCGAGGTTTGGGAAACTTCAGTTAGCATTAGCAAGCCGCAGCTTTCCAAAGAAAACAGATTTATATGACTCATTACAAACATTTGTCTCTGGCCTGACTGGAACTAAACATTTTGCAAACTGTATTGGCTTCTACTACCATATAGACAGGTGAGTGTTCAGCTTTTCATCTGGTCGACATTATCTGTATGTCTCACGTCGACTCTAGAAAGAGTGTTTCTTCCAACAACTCGGTCCTCCGTTGACTATTTTTGAGCCATGCTGTGTTTAATTTATTCATCAAGTATGCTTTATTTTTACTCTTGATCTCTGCATTGTGTCCATCCTGTCTGCTCCGTGTAAACCAGGGGTCTCCCTTATGTCTTGTTGATTGTCTGTGTTTGAATGTTTTGACCCTCAAAGCATCTTGTAAACGCTGTTCTTAAAGCTGCTATATAAATAAAGTTATTATTATTATTATTATGTGTGGTTCCGTCAAAAAAATAAACCACCTCTAAGCTTAAAATTGTGATATATCATAAAAATCACAAATAAATTGTTTAAAGGTTCTGTAAAAAAAACAAAAAAAACAATGATTATTCAGCTGAACTGCAGGCAGTGTTTACACCAGGGGTGTCCAATCCTGGTCCTCCAGGGCCACAGTCCTGCATGTTTTCCTCTTCCAACACACCTGATTAAAATGATCAGGATCGTTATCAGGCTTCTGCAGAGCTTGATGATGAGCTGATGAGCCCTTGGTGTAAACACTGCCTGCAGTTCAGCTGAATAATCATTGTTTTTTTTGTTTTTTTTACAGAACCTTTAAACAATTTATCTGTGATTTTTAGGATATATCACAATTTTAAGCTTAGAGGTGGTTTATTTTTTTGACGGAACCACACATAATAATAATAATAACTTTATTTATATAGCAGCTTTAAGAACAGCGTTTACAAGATGCTTTGAGGGTCAAAACATTCAAACACAGACAATCAACAGGACATAAGGGAAACAAGGCAGAGCAGTCACATAACATAAATAATAGAATGAATAATTAGCTAGAATAGGACGCATATCAAACAAAGGAACTGGGCTGTTTAAAAACCAAAGAATAAGATTGAAGATTTAAAAAAATCAAAGATTAAAGAATTAACAAATTAAAGACGACATCACACCAAAGAGCTGGACAGCTGAAATGAAAATGAAAGAAGAGAGAACATTTAAAATAAACAGGTGAGTAGAACCTAAACACGGAGTCGAGCACTAAAACTAAATAAATCTAAACTTCCCATAAAAGCAAGTCTATAAAAGAGCCTTTTAAGAAGTCACACAAGGTATGTTCAAGGACTGTTGAATAGTTATGAATCCAATGATTTTCTCTGTTTTTAACCTTTTCTGGCTTTTATAAATGTGTCTTTTTGTGTGGTTTTTTTTATAGAGAACACGTCTTTTATACCACCTGGCAGGTTTTGGGCCTTGAGGGATTAAAGAAAAATAAAACAAAACACATTGAATTCTCTTTCAGCTGTAGTGAATATATTCAAAACATAAAATGCATTCATTCACAGCAGTTTTAATTCTAAAACCCAAAGACTTATATCTTTCAGATTGCTTTTTTTCTCCTCCTGTCTGTCTCTCAATGTCACGTTTTCATCCTAAACACAGTCACAGTCGAGACGAGCCGAGCACAGTGAGTTAAATAGATTACAGATGTCTGCTGTCTTAATCAGACGCACACTTCAGCACATTGCTTTCACATTATAGGTTATGCTTGGCTCCGATGTGTTTGAATGTGGGAGGAAAGATGTTTTTTTTTTCTACTTGTATCACATGTTTTTTTGTTGCTGTAATAGTAAAATTACACGGTATCCTGTGTGTGTGTATATGTAGGAAAACAATGCGCGAGGAGGAAAACAAAAGCGCTTGTCTGTGCAGAAATATTTACTGACTGACTGTTGCCGGAGACATCATTATCTCTCTCCCAGCAGCCCCGGAGCTGTTGATAGTTGGTTAGCCTTTCAGTGTTACCACAATGCCAAAAATGATGATATCTCCGCGACCTCAGTCTAGCACAAAACCAAGAACGGGGAAGGGCACCGGCGTCAGTGTCGGAAAATTCACTCCTATTTGCAGCCCGTTGGTGGCACGTGAAGTAGAAACGCAGGCGAAAAGTGTTGTCGTTTTCTCAGCCGTCGCTCTGCACGACGGGAAACACTTACCATGATGTGACACTGTCGCTTTCAGAATGAGATTTTCGCCTCTCGGCATCAGGATGAAAATAGTGTGGCCTGCATAGAAGACAGATGCTACGTCCTCCCGCTAGCCCAGTACTGTAGGTAAGTCGCCGCTCGCACACAAACACCTCAAAGTCTCGCGTTTAATTAACACCTCGGCTTCTGAGACACGTGGAAGCCTGTTCCTCTGTTGTTCTTATTGCACGTCGGTGACACCGCAACTGTTAATGAAATCTGAGGCCGGGAGGATTTGCTGAGGCCTCACTGGTCAGAGTTGTGTTTTTTGTGTTGAACTGAAGGTGCAGAAAACTATAGAAGTCATTGCAAATCACTTAAATGTCAAATAAATCAACATTGTGTCATCTTACAGTAAACAGATTACATGTAAGTTGAACAGATGAGTATGTCAAATAAAAAAAAAAACAGCTTGTATTTACGATATTAAAAATAGGGGCCTCGCAATAGAAGTTCAATGCAACAAAACTCAACTACTGAGATTTGAACCTATATATTTGTCAATTCTTTGTATGTGCATCTTTATTTTTGACACTGGACTCAATCCTCATAGTGAAGCAGATGTTTAGATCTTTACTCAGCTGTTGTTTGCTTTAACGGTTGTGTTGCTCCACCTTTGTCTGTAAAATACCTCAAAGATGCTCTACTGGGTTCAAGTCAAGCGACAGACTTGTCCAGGTCATGGTTTTCTTCTTTTTTGTGCTTTGGAAGGGTTTTATGTTGGGATATTCCTCTTCTGCTAAACTTCTTCAGACTAGGAGTCGTCTTGTCAGCAGGTTTTTTTTTTACACCCTCAGACATTTCTGTACTTATGCAGCCTTGTATCATGATACTTCCACCTCCGTGCTTCACTGTCAGGACTATGTGTTCACCTGCTCAGGTTGATGCCAAACATGCTGTATCTCGGTCCCATCTGACCAAAGAATGTGCTCCCAACATTCATCAGGCTTCGTTTCATCTTCAAGTTTAATCTTGCAGTTTTGTGCTAAAAAGCAAGAACAGGTTTGATTCTGTGACGTCATGCCTGGAGGTTGTTGTTATGCGTCGTCTTTTATACAGTCTGAGCTTTACAGAAACTCTGATTTCCATTTATAACCCCTGTGCTGAAGCAGCTGCCGTCTGTTTCTCAGAGCTCGATTGTTAAAGCAGTGCAGTCAGTGGTGCTATTCTAGGACGATGACCACTGCAGCTCTGATTAGTGGTACTATGGCTCGTCTATACCTCCTGGTTACTGCTGGTTTTCACTGATTTTTAGTTGCTCCCAGATCTTCCTGTATATAGAGCCATGATGCAAACATGCAGATAGACACAGCCCATAGGTGCAAAACTGGGAAAGTCTGACTGTTCCTCGCTCATTTTCTAACCTTGTTTATGCTGTAAGGTTGATTGGAAATCAGCTTTCACTCAGTTTTGGTTCAGGTTTCAAGTCGCAGGTTTTCTAACTTGCGTGTCAGTGATAACCAACGTATTCACTTTTGTTGTGTTGAGTTTCTACTTTGGGGTATTTTCAGAATCAACTTTGTCGGCCAACAACATGAACATATGCAAGGAATTTCTACAATTAATCACACGTGTTTAAACAAGAGCAGCAGGTTAGAGAAGGAAAATGAGGATTAAACTTCTGAGTACAGCTATAGATATGTTTAAAAACAAAGATATGTAATGTGAGCTAAAGTTTAATGCCAGATACAGTTATTAACATTAAACACAGAGCTGTTGACCTTCTATATTTTCTATTGTTTGAACTGAATGTTCCTCATAATATCTTCTTGTCATTGCAGAGCCGTGAGGAACAGTCACTTTACATTTTACTGCACATATTGTCAGAGTGTATGACAAACACAAACTTATGAATCCAGCTGTGTGAAGTGCAATATAGTCTTTCTAGAGTAATTTCTGGAGGTTCGTGAGAGGAAAAGCTCTTCCTGTCCTCTTAGAAATAATGTAGTTACTGAGACGTGACAAAGTTTTGAGTCATTTGACATTTAAGTGATATTTTCGCTCGCTGTTGTTCTGCTTTGTGCGTCTCTGTTGGATTTCACTGCAGACTGTGTCACCTTTTCACCGTTTCCTTTCCCTTCCCCAGATTTTGTGCCTTGGTGAAGCGGCGTGCCGAAGGCGCCCCCCCTGGCAGTGCCAGCATGGTGCCCTGCCGCCCCGACTTCGCCCCCCCCTCCCACCGCTGTGTGCCCACGGACGTCGACCCCGAGTTGGTGTATCTCTGCCGGCACGTCTACGACTTCCGCTACGGTCGCATCTTGAAGAACCTGCAGTAGAGTTCAGAAGGCCGTCGCGCTACCAAGTTAATCGTCACGCAGCTCCTCCTGCACAGAGGAGGCGGCTGAAGGAGCCGACAGCCTTCGTCTGGTCTGCTGGGCACCTCACCATCCGAGGGGAGGGGGACGACGACGATGACGATGATGATGATTCGTCGAGGGGCAGATGAAGCAAACATTGTGACACTATGAAGCACAGATCCCTTTAGTTGACCACGGAGGGGTTAGAATGTGATCATCTCTGTCAGAGCACCGATATTTCCTGGTTTGGAAGAAGGAAAAATTCACTCATCAGTTTTTCCACCACACTCTGAGGCTTTAATGGAAGCTCTCGTGCCCCCCCGTCTTTGATCCCTTTTCCCTGCCAGGAGCACCGGGCCGAGCTGGGCCGCTGTCAGCGCCGCGTTCCCCCTGAAGGATCTTAGCACAACAATCATGTTTGTTCCATTTGTAAGCCAGTGGCTCAGGGATGGTCCGGCACTAAGGTGCTTCCGGGGAACACAAGCCTGCTCTGTCAGCTCGATGTTAACGGTGTCCAACCAGCCGGGGTGAAGGAGCAGCTAACGGAGAGTGTCGTCTTATTTCTCCCGATTTGGGTTGTTGTGTGTGGGAGCGAGTGTTGTCAGTGAGGATAAATGGATAAATGTGGGCATTTGTGATGGTGTTTTAGGAGGCTTTCAGGCAATCAAACCAAACAAGCAGCTTTAGAGGAAGTGGAACTCTCTCTCTCTCTCTCTGTCCGTCCCCTCTCCTGACACCGACGTTTTCATCTCGAGTGATGCTCAAACTGAAATACTGCACCTGAAGGAGGGTTTGTGAGGCAGATCCGTGCTTACAAAAGAGCAGGTCTTCTTTAACTTCACGCCAGGACACTAAAATAACCGATTTTATCAGCTAAAACTCACACGAAACGGTCGATTTGGATCATCTCAGCCACAGTTCTGGCTCAAAGTCGCCTCGTTAAACGGAGGCTCTGCTGAGGATCCGTCGTTTTTGGTTGTTGGGTTTTTTTTTGTAGAAGTTTTCACCTTTACTGCTCCCTGTGACTTGCCTTATGACTCGCAGGAAGAGCGTCAGGCAGCTAGTCTCACCACACACACCCAGGAAGTGGTATCAGGTGAACCCGTAGTCCCAGAAAGTCAAATGATCAGCAGAGACATGCATGAAGAAAGCACCGTGTAGGGCTGCAGTCAGGCGATCCTGGAAACTGTTCCACTCTACAACCAAAATTCAGCACGATAGAGATTAAACAGCGCACATGCTAGCATTATTATCCTAAATGCATTCCTAATCAACACACAAAGCTCATATTTGCAGCATATTAAATCATTTCGACCTGGTTATTTTACACTAAATTGGGAGCAAAGTAGCTGCACTTGATAAGAAATAGAACTAATACATAACTAACTATTGAGAGATGTACTGCAGCTGCTGTTGTTCGATGATCTGCCGCGTTGGTTGGTTGAGTTTTGATGCAAAAACTGCTGTTTGCAAAGCTGACATTCGACTTTAGTTGCTGAAATGTTAAATACAGTCTCCTTTAGGTTGGGTGAGTCCAAAGTCGTGAAAACACGGGGGTGTTTACAGGTGTTCTGTTCCTCCTGCTGCCAGAAATAATGGATTAATCCCAGAAAGCTGTTGATGTAGAGCTGTTCTCTGTAAGAGTGTCCTACCAATGAGAAGTTGGTCAGATGCAACCGATCGATGAGTCAACCTGCAAATTCGGATTAACGTGTTTATAACATGTCAGATAATAGCATAAAATATCTGCTGTGGCTCCTCAGCGAAGACTTTAAAAGCTTGTCTTCTCAAACTAGAACCGTTGATGCAAAGATGCTTCGTTTCCGATCATGTGTGACAAAGAGAAGCATCAGATGTTTCACAGAGCCCGACACCGTTTGGCGTATTAACAAGAACAGTGATCAGATCATGGACTCCTGACTGCAGCTCGACTCTGGTGCGGTTCTCTTGACGTCTCTGCGGCTGCTCGCCTGGTTAATGTCTGTTTTAATTCTACACCCAGACCGGTTTTTATTTCTCCTCCTCCTCCTCACCCTCCCCCCGCCAAGATAAAACCAAAGGATGTCACACAAGCCAGAATTCCCGTCTCCTCCCTCGCACTTCTCCTCCTCCTCCTCCTCCTCGTCAGCACTTCTGTCCTCGTTATATTGCACTAATCCATTCCTTGATTACAACTTTTTTTTTTTTAAACTCCCGCTACTAATATCTTACCGTGGGCCGGGTGGGGAGTTAAGGTGGGGGAGGGCACTGTATATCATTTATGTTGTGTGATTTGTACCTTTATAGAAGGAACCAGTGAGGATGTCATGGCTGCTTTTTTTTTTGTCAGTGCAAACTGTATATTTCTATTAATTTCACCAGTAGAAGAAGTCGGCCGGCGTGTTTCTGTCATGATGCTGTTGAATCCCGTTGGAATATATGCGGTATATATATATATATTTATATATATAACTAGAGTCCATTCCATTTGATTTATGAATCAGCTCTGACATATGAATATACAGTATATATATATATATATATGTATGTATCCACACTGTTAATGTGATTTTAGATTTGAAACAGGCCTGACTTTGCTGTGCGGACAGAACCATGTCGTATTTGGATCGAAGGTGTGTTGAGGTGATTCTTTAGAGTCGTGGTGGATTTCAAACCGCACTCTTCCATTGCCTTTTTTTTGTTTGTTTGTTTGTTTTACTGTCACTCAGAAAGCGAGCAGCGTCAGAGTGTGTACGTACCTTTTTAGAAAGCAGAAAGAGTACCCGATTGCTTTCCTGCACAGCAAAACGCCCTTTTTTCTTTTCTTCAACATTGGAATCTTTAACACACTGAAGCCATCTTTAACTTCCCCCCTCTCTCTATTTGAGCGGCACTAAACTAAATCAAATCCTGAATCCTTTTAGTTTTAATTTCTATTAACCCCCAGATTCTTCAAAGAGGTAATATATATTCTCCTACTTTACAATTTCTCCTTATTAAGAATATTTTATTATGTCGATTTTCCTAAGATGGTATATGCAATATGTTTTTTAGACTTACTATTTTTGGAAAATGAGCAAAACCGAATCAAGAAAAAGAAAAAAAAACAAGAATATGCATTATTTTTAGTTTCTTTCAGATGCGTTTTAAATCGTCACTGCGTTAATTGAGATTTGACCAAATGAAAGAAAAACAAGCGAAGGGACCTGAGGTTGTAGATAACATGCAGAGAGAATCTTCCCTCCCAGGAAATTCCTAATGAAGTGTACATATCTGAATCCAGGAAGCACCGGGCACTCTTTAAACAAGCAGACAGCCAATGCACAGTGTAGTATTTTTGCAAGATCTGTAATAATTATATTTAAAGTAAGAAAAAAAAAATATTTAAATGGAGTGAACAATAAAAAAAAATATATTAAGATTTCAATTTAACTTATTTGGAAATACTGTGTCTAATTGATATGCTGTTTTTCTTTGTGCTCCAGGATAGAAAGTGATTTCTGTTCGTTTGTAACTTAAAGAGAATAAATGAGTGACGCTTGTCGACGGAGATGTAAATGTGGTTTAGTTGATATCATTTCTTTGTGACGGCGGCGGCGGACCAAAGCACACACCTGCAGCAGACGGGAGAGCAGAGGCGGACGGAAACGTCTTCCTGCTCTCCTGACCGACCTTAATCCTGCCGTTTGGGAGAACGCCGTGGTCACCTGAGCTGTTATTGATTCGTCCTATTAGGGGAGAGTCAGACGGTTCATCTGAGACGGGGCAGAGGGGACGCCACGTCCCCGGAGCTGCAGGTAGAAGCAAGGAAGTAGGTTTCTTTTAAACTTTTTGGGGGGACACTTGTTCGTTTTGAGCATCACACATTTAATTTCCTGCATTCTGGTGAATTTTTAAGCACCGATTTGTCCCGTTTCTGCATCAATTTGTAGCAAAATTACAAAATTCAGGCACAATTGAGGGGATAAATGCACTTATCTCCTGTTTCCCACCAAGAAATCCAGAGTTCCCCTGAGATGCTCACCGCTGTACCCTCCCTACGTTAAATCACTGAGGCTTGCCAGTAAGTGTCAGAAATTAGGGCCTGTGTGGAAATTATTATGCTCCCAGCTAGTTTTAATTGATTTTGAGATGTTACTGAGCTCTTCTAAAGCTTGTCTGGGTCTGACCCAAAGCTACACAGCGGAAATATTGACCACTTATATATGAGCTTAGGGTTGTGTGTCCACTAAAGTGTATTTTGCCAGAAAACACGCAGCTGGGAGGTGCAGTACTTCACTGCTGGTACACAAATACACGTCCTGCCACTCAGCAGCCATCTTGGTAAGACCTCCAGGTAGTTGCTTCAGGCTAATACGACAAAGCTTCAGTCTAATGAATGGGGAGAGAGATGTACCTGTAATTTCAATTAACATAAAAACAGCATGACTACAATCAGAAGTCAAATCTGACTAAAAACCCTAAAAAGTCTGGCCACTTTGCCCCAAAATCATGCTAAAAAGAAAGATTTGTTTTGTTTTTACTATGCATGCACACAGCATTAAGCCCTATTTCATCGTCGTTCAATCATCATTCAACACTTCCAAGTGAATGTGACATGTGACTGACGGAGTATTCGAGAAATTGGATGTTGACTAGAAATCAACATGAATTGGCTCAGTGTAGAACAGACGCTAAAGCTTGTTATAACGCTGCTGGAGTTTTTACTAAACATGAAGCACTCCAGTTTTTCCAGAATAAAAAGCTTCGGTGGACGCACCAACCTCAGGTCTCTGATTCTTACATCTGAAGGTGCTCTTACCATCAGGACCCCTCAGCTTTGGAAGAACTTGCCTGAGTATATAAGGCTGCAGAATCAGTTATTTCTTTTAATTCGCATCCTAAAACCCATTTAGTTAATTGTTTTACCCTATTTATTTCTCTCTCTTTGTTTAATTGAAAGTTGCAGCCTTGGTCCAACACAGTAAATACACTGCTCTGATGTAATTCAATGTGGAGGACCTTCTTGTTTTTTTTGTAAATTTATCTTCAGCTCAGCCTAATAATTTCCACCCAAGTACCTAAAAGAGCTCCCCGTGGGCTCACAAGAGATTTAGAGTTTTAACATAATTCAAGAGTGCATCCTCTCCCTCCCTCCATCCACATCAGCTGACCACCGCCGCCTTTCTCCCAGATGTGCATTGACCTGTTTGCCCCCTAGAGGGCAGGAATCCTGAGTGTGCAGAAAAAAAAAAGTCTCATCATGGCCACATCTTTTAACGTGTTCACCACCAGCTTCCTCCTCCTCCTCCTCCTCCTCCTCCTCCTCGCATCCACGTCTTTTATTATTTTGCTACTGAGAGCGATGCAGGAACGTGAGGAAGAGCTCGGCCGGGCGGCTGCCGTCCTCCCGGGTGTCTCGGCCGGCCTTTGCAACAAAGCACGAGGCTAGATTGTGTGTTCGTTTCGCCCAGAAGCTTTGCATGGACGCAGTTGCATCCTCCGTCGCCATGACAACAAGGCAGGGCCAGCACTCTGGAGGGGAGAGTTAGTTTTTACTGATGCCACGCCGGAGGTGTGTTCACTGAAGCACCTGACCAACCCGTGAGATTCTGCTTTGTGTGTGGTCTGTACTGATGCTTATTGTTGACATATATTTTGATATATTTGGGGGGAAAACCCTGAGAGGGGGGATATACAGTAATGGAAAAAAAAAAAAAAAAAGTCTAGATATTTTTGGAGTAGAGAAGCAATGTGTGTATTGTCACTTTGTCATGCTTTCTGAGAAGCTCTTGGATTTTTTTGGAAGAATTATATAACATCCCGACTGATTTAATGTTCCATTGAGAGAATATTTATAAATTTTAAGTCCTTTGTGAAACTCCTGTGTGTGTGTGTGTGGCTTTTTTTTTTATTGTTATTTTAACGGAAGAAGGTTGTTTTAACCTCCTCTGAAGTTTTACAGACTTTTCAGGCTGCAGGGAAGTTTCGAGGTCGTCTTTAAAGTTTTATGCTGGTTAGATTCCAACCACGAAATGATTGCATTCCCCTTTCCAAGGACGTCTAACTCTCTGAGCGGAGGCGGCCTACTTTCGCTGCATGTAATCAATAAGCATCCACTCCGCCGCCGATCGTCTGTAATGCTGTAGATCTCCACAGGAGGTCAGTAGTGAAACGCCGCGCTCAGGTCGGGGTCAGCTCCTCTCTTGACCTCCGTGTTGCACTACTAATCATATCACACGCTACACGGCCATGTGTTAATTTGAATGCAGCAGGAGGAAGGTCTCACCTCTCTGCCTGCCGCTCTTCCATGCTTCCTTTCCCTCCGCCTTCATGTCCCCTGTCAGCAGAGTCATTATCTGCCTTTGGCCTTTATCCCTGTTCGGGCCTCGGGGCATTAGGAGTGTTCAGCAGCACACATACAGGCTTCGGCGCGGAGCCTTAGTGTCTGTTACAGGGATAACAGCAGCCAGAGCAGACGATTAGCGGCTCATAATAATATAACTAGCCGACACACTTTGACCTGAGAGGCCTCTTAAGTGCACCAGTCTGCTCCAAGACTATTGGCTGGTGCAGGAGGATTGAAGCCTTCAGCGTGGGTAAGATGAATGAATGAATGGCAACACATTCACATCCTGAAGTGTCGGCATTTATCGCGTCGCCTTGAGACTGCGTTTTCAAAACAGTGTTTTTATCCAGTTTATCCAGGATCTTTTAATTCATGGCAACCACATGAATCACTCATCTTACTAACCCTGTACTTTAAATATTTATTTTTCAACTTTTACTTCAGTGTTTTTATTCACACTGCAGCTTATTCAATATTTAATTTATTTGCCTATAAGAACTATTCAGCCCCCTTAAGTAAGCTTTCCCCTTTTATTCCTTTTCGCCATCAAATCATGATGAATATAATTTAGCTTTTTTGACAAAAATTTACAAAAGACACGACTCTTTCTCGTCAAAGTGTAACATAAGTATTCAGCCCCTTCAATAGTGCCGAGAAGTGTCCCCACATCATGATGCTGCCACTACCGTGCTTCACGTCATGATGCTGCCACCGCCGTGCTTCACCTGCACCACTTGACTGCACATATGCAGTCACTTATGTCACATTTCACCTACAGGTGTGTCATTTGCAAGAATGCATGTGCAGGCACATTACACACAGGTAAGTGTCCTTCAGACATCAGGAGTTGGATTTGATAATAACTTAGTTACATTCTGAATTCAAACATTGAGCTTTATTGATCCACCCTTTAGCACTAACTGATTCTTTTTTCTGCTTTTTCCATTTCACTGCAGGTGCCAACCACAGACTGTATGCAAATATACTGTCTGTATATATACTGTATGTGCATATCCACTGTGTAATATAAAGATTATAGTAGCGACTAAAGTCAAGCTGCTGCTTCAGTTTAAAAACTGAACGCTAGAAGCCTTATTAAGCACATTATTCTGTGCTATATTATACAGTATTATACACTAATGTAGTTATGAATGCTATATTTCATTTCTGCTGATAGAGCTTTAGATATGTCGCTTTGGCTCCAGCGTATTAACTTCTAATTTTCATTTTTCTGTGCATTCTCCTGCTTTTATCCTCACTGTTCAATCATGTCTCCTATTTTTAGCGTCGTTGTTATACGAACCATCACAGCTGCAGGTCTAATGATTACGATAATTACATCCAATTTGTGATCATTATAGCAGCACCATGGAAACATTAGTGTACTGTTGTTTGAATTCTGCGCAAAATCATCAATACATGCAGAGAAACATGTAAAGTTATCGTCTGTTTTCCTGTTTCTCTTACAAGGAGATGGAACATAACTAAGGACATTCATTCAGCTGCTATACTTTAGCTTTACATACGGTATTATTTTTATTTAATGCTACTTGATAGACTCAACAACATTTATTTGACACCTTAACTGACCTGCAGATTAACACGTTGCACGCAAACTATAATTTGTCAAATATGATGCAATGTTGAAGATTAAACAACCCAACAGGGAAACTGTTCAAACCAGTTCTGCTGCTGCAACTGAGTGCAACGGAAAAATGTTCATGCATTTGTAATAATAATCCAGGAAAGTATAGAGTGAAACACTTGGAGGGATTGTATTTCTAGATTATTAATACTTTTGAGATTGTAAATACGTTTTGGTGATCATAACTTTGCACCTGTGCTAATTTTGCTTTAAAAGAACAGACGTCAGAGGAAGTATGAAGCCAAAAGAACATGAAAACAAAAGGAACTTAAAAGCGTTTCTATTAAACTTAACACACATCACGCCCCCATTCATGTTCACTCACCGGTTATCCTCCACATCTTTATTTAACTTCAGGATTCTGTGAAATATTCACAAAATAAATGCATTGCTTTCTGGAGGACTTCTGTTACGAGGCAAGAAAGCTTTCACAGATCAGCAAATGGAAGCATCTGCTGGAGAAAGAATCAATCCAGCAAATGCAAAATAGACAGAAAGCCAGCTTACAGTGGAGAGGTGGGGGAACGGGACCCCGACACGATCGCCTAACTAGCTTCTCATCTGCTCCTGTTTCTTTCTCTGTTGGTCTAATTACCACGTCCGGCTTATTGTCCTCTTGATGACTGTAATTAATCAAGTTGTGCTCCCTAATCTCTGAATCTCATCATCCTTACAGTGCACCAGGGCCGGCCACACCGGATGGTAGCCTGATGTAAGCTCTTTTGGGGAGCGTAATTGTGCGCTTGTCTGCAACTTTGCGTGCAACAGCAAATTGCAGAGTCGAACCCTGCTGCGTGTTCGTTTCATTTAGTCAGGAGTTTGTTTGTTTTTTGTCAGGTCAGTAATTGTTGCTTATCTGTTCCTCCTTGTGTGTTTGTAGACGGCAGTTATGCAACTTAAGTTATTTTGGGGCCTTTTATATAAAAGCCAATCTGACCCCTGTCTATACAGAGAAGAGAGGAAGAAGACTCTCACAGTTTTGTCCTCCCCTGAGCTTCAGATGGCTTACCGGCTCCTTAATCTGTCCTCTGAGTGACATCAGCCTCCCCTGCACCCTCCTTACAGGACAGCAGGCGAGAGGGAGGGAAAGCAGGAGGAGGTGGTGGTGGCCGCCGGTGGGGTTTAGGGAAGGTGAATTAGCTCAGCAGTAAAGTTTGGCAGTCCGTCAGGGCGATGGCAGCAGCGGAGGGCGACTCTCACATGGAGGAGCTGGTGGACCACGGCCTGGGGATGGAGGAGACGGCCCACGGCCTGCTGAGGAGACCCTCGCTGAAGGAGACCTACCACAGCGACTCCCTGCTGGCGCCGGACACTGACTTCATGACAGGTAGAGCCGAGCAAGTTCAGGTGTTAAAGGGTCGATTCATCCAAACCACAGAAAAGACACCACCCCATTGTATGGCTTATCGTTAGGGCTGCAACTTATGATTAACTGATTAGTTGTTTAGATTCCAAAATGTCTAAAAATGGTGAAAAATGTCGATCAGTGTTTCCCAAAGCTGTCCAATACCCAAAAATATTCAGTTTACTGTCATGGAGGAGAAAAGAAACCAGAAAATATTAATGCAATCAAAGAATTCAGACTTTTTTTTCTTAAAAACTGACTTTAACTGATTTTAAGAATAGTTGGTGAGTGTTTAATAGTTGAAGTCAAATGCATTAATTAAGAGAAACAGGAAGTGCTGTACAGTTAAGAACAAAAATAGGAATGCGTAATGACTAAAAGGCAAAACTAAACACAATTTGTAAATTAATAAGAAGCATAAAAATACAACACAGTGACAGATGAAGTCAGGCTCTGCTTAAGTCAAATACCAGTGAACAGAGGCGGGTCTGTAGCAACGATTTAACAGTTTCATAAGTCAGTTGACAACTAATCAACTAATTGTTGCAGCTCTATTTGGGATGCAGATAGTTTCATTTCTGTCCATGCAGTTTCCACCCCAATGCATGGAGGTGAAGGCGTTTGTGCTTCATTTTGTTTGTAGCGCTCAAAGCAAATTCTCCAAGTTGAGTGACAAACCTTTATCGTGTTCTGTTTGAATAAACTACCTGTAGCAAAATCAGACATATGCACTGTCTGCAATCAGTCTGCAGTTGTGTACATGCATGTACGCTTTGCACAGGTTTGCAAGTTTACTTTTGACTTGTCGTGTGAAAGCAAAACAAATGATCCTCCAGCGTATCCAAAAAAAAAGGAAATAAGCTCATAAAAGCTGCACATGTGAATGAATTGGCTCAACAGGTGTGTCTGATAGAACTTTTTCCTACATAAAACTTTTGCCCTCTCTGAAGCGTGGTCATGTTTTACACATACAAAATCTTTTAATGCCAATTTCTGGTGGACAATTTTCATTCGGGATTATCAAACCTCTCAAAATCTGTTGCGTAATCTCACAAATACGTTGAGTCAAAAGCAGCGAGGGACTGTCGACAGTGTTGGTTCTCCAACGAGATGGCGCGCTTCAAACTGTGGGTGTCGTGGAATCACCTGAGAAGATTTAGGGGAAGGCCCTGCAGGGATATTAGTATCAGTGGACTAATATGTGAAGGATTCCTGTGTCCTCTGTGTGTGTGTTTGTGTGTGTGTCAGCATGCAGGGTGCTGATGTGAGCAGACAGATGCTGTTCCTTCATTCAAGAAACACCATCTGTGAGCAGAGATTAAAACACTCTATATGCTGCAGTTATGCCGTAATGAATTCCACTTTGCTCAAATGTATATGAATTATCAGGCGCTTAGTGCTGCACCCAAAGTGTTTGCAAATGTGTGTGTGTATGTGTGTGTGTGAGAGAGAGTCACGGACACACACAGACTTAATGCATGTGTTTTGTATGTGTGTTTACATTTGCATAAACGGTATCCAGGGAGCCTTGTGCTTGTTCTTTGTGCAGCGGAGTTAGTGCAGAGACCGAGCTTTGGGTTGCTAATTCCCTTTTACAGCACCAGGATTATGTGCTATTCTAATCCCAATCCCATATGGGGTGTGTGGAGGTGGCACGAGGATGATGTCACGGCCAGGACAAGAGGAGAAACAGAAGATCACAGGCCTACAGTGAATCACAGCTCTCCATGAGAGGCAGATTACTGCCGGCTGCATGCTCCGGTGATTATACGCGACGTCTTCGCCCACAGCGGCTCAGCACAGCACAAACTCTCAGAAGAGTTACAGCAGGAAGGGAGAGAGATGAGTTTTATTATTGAGGAACGCGCGTTTAGCAGCACATGTTGAGGCTGTGCAGGTGCTACATTTTAAAAATGTTTTAAGCATCGAGAGACAGTGTTTGTCAGGTTCAACCATCACGGTGCAAACATGCTGATTATTATTTATTATTTATGCAATGATTACAGAATTCCTCCTGGGGATCACTAAAGTATTTATATCCTATTCTTTTCTATTGTATTCTTTTTAAACTGGGAATTATTGAAGAGATAATAGTGGATGTAGTGGCAGATGTTTTTTCTTCGTCTTATAGGTCTGTTTGGTGAAGTTTACGTGCTTGGTTAAGGACAATTCTGACTTACATACTTTAGCGTTTCCATTTTCTGCTGTTTTATACGTCCATTCCACTACAATTCTTATTTAACAACTTATTTAAAAGCTTTAGTTACTTTGCAGATTTAGTTTATTAATACAAAATACATTTAACAAAAAAATTAGGATGCAAGTTTACAGATTAAGATAAAATTTTGGGCGACCCAGCAGATATAAAGTATTTAAATCACCTTTACTAGCACCAACATTTGAGTAATGAACAAACTAATGCATCACTACAATCCAATACTATACGTTATTCTGAAAAATGCCATTTTGAATAGTGAGTGCTTTTACTTTTGGTACTTTAACTGAATTTTGATGCTAATTCTTACTTAAGTAAAAGTTGAAATGTATGACTTTTACTTGTAATTTTCCAGGAGTATGTTGCACAGCAGAGCAGAAAGGTATACACATTCATTACATCTACACAAACACACGTCATTATATCTATACCTGTACAAACCCACATGTTTGTAATATGAAAATGCACAGCTACTCATCCAATATATATGCAAAAAAGGGGAGAAGCTACGTATATAAACAAACAAAATGAGAAAAAATACATACATTTACACATATATGTATATATACATACAAAAAATAATGTATTTAAACTATTACAACCAGTTAACCATTCATTTTAGCTATTTGGATAATATTTCCATCACTTTCATCTCATTTTATGACCATTTTAACCATATCTAGTTGTTTTGTTCGTTGTGTTTCTCCACCATTCATCCATTTGCTCTTTAACTAAGCTAGCTCGCCACTTTAAGCTAAACAGCTATTTCAGACATTTTGCTTTTATTTTATTTTTAGGTGTTCATTAGCAGCAGCACCACTACGAGGAGCAGCGTTACCAATTCAACTAGATTTCACAGTAACATGGCGATAATGTCAATAAATCAAATCAATGTCAGTTTTGTGTATTACTATTAGCTGTTTAAACCTCAATCATTTTCTGGTTTAACCATTTTTCCAGTAATATTTAACATGGGTAAATTACTTTTAGCAATCTATTTTAGCAATTTATTGATTACTTTTAATGATTTAGCTTCACATGTTAACTAGTTTTCATGCACTCGCAGTTTCAACGTGACGCCGAGGTCGCTAACTCATTACACTAATGCGACTTTTAATCAAACTGAAGTTCTTTTTTGATTAAATTGGTTGAGGTAATCTCCTCACGTGCCCCCTGGTATGTGGAGAAGTACCCCCTACGGTACAAGTACCCCTGGTTGGGAGTTTTTGTTGATTTAAAAAAAATCACAAAAGGATGCAGATTATGCAACTAGTCCCGACTGCTTATCTTCGATTTTTGCTGGGAAACAATACTTCATTGCACCTCTTACTTCGGCTAATTCCTGTTTTTTAAGGCTTGCATTCGCTCTGCAGCTGCAAACATGCACTGGTTGTTATTTTGCCTCCGCTTCAGCGTGACCTGTACTGTAACCAGGGTGTTCACTGCTGCACAACACAACAACAACAACAACAACAGCAACAGGAGGCCACATCTCAGGTTTATCTGTGCTGTTTCCTGGCTGTGTCTCCATCTCTGGTAGTGACATGGGGCTTAGTGTGGGGGCGGGTCAAAGAGGCTCAGTCTGCAGGATTAACATTGTACTCTGCACACACATACACACATGTAAGTACACACACGTGCACGGACAATTTAGGCTGAATTGGATGAGTTTTAAAGCATCATCAACCCCACCCCCACCTTTATATGTACCCTGAGCGAAGGGCTTTAAGCCCCGTCATACGCATCACGGCGTCCCAGAGTTCGCCAGGCGACCACCGAGGAGGGGATCAAAGAACGCCCTGGTCGCCTCCCGCTGCAGATGCTGTAACATCATCTGGACGCTGTGAACGGACAAGAGAGGCCAGATCTGTTGAGAGAAATGAGATCTTAGTGGACGCCGGCCAGCGGATCAGAATCAAGATGGAGGGAGAGCCGGGCCTTCAGACCAGAGCCAGAGGAGGGAAGAGGAGTGAAAGGGTTTGCTCAAGAGAGGAGAGGAAGAGGAGGAAGACGGCCGGGGCGGTGGAGGAAGGCCAGAAACAACCTGACTGCTCATCGGTGTCCAGCGCTTCCCACGGTATCTGAATCATTGATGTGCTTTCTCTGATTGGAAGCAGTGAAGCAAGAAAAAAAAGTTGAATGATGAAGTGTCGGTGACAATGGTGGAGGTGTTTTAAATGTGTGCTTTGTTTACACGTTGCCGGCTGATGACAGCGTGGATCTGCTGTGTCCAGCTGTGTTGTGACCTCATTAGCTTGATTTTTTTTTGCTACAGAGGCACGAAGAGCGGATGTTAAAGAGCTTACTCCTTCCTCTGATTATGGATGCTGTTGCCAAGTCAACTGCACTTACATGTTGCTCGTCACCATCCTTACCTTTCTCCCTGCGTCGCTTAACAAAGTCTTCACCATGTTGTTGTGATTTAACTCTTTATTTTCTAGATGATCCTTTTCGTAGCACTACCTTTAAAGCCTGTCATCAGTTATGTAACGTAATTGAAAAGCACAGCAACGTAATCCTCGTCCTGGCATTATTCTCTCCGTGCATCTACACTTTTCTCATCCTCTGAACTCTTTTTTTTTCCCTGCAGATGACCGAAGCTCGGCGGCCAGCGGCCTGGACGTGGCCGACCGGCTGACCTACCTCGAGCAGAGGATGCAGATGCAGGAAGACGAGATCCAGCTGCTGAAGTTGGCTCTGGCCGACGTCCTCAAGCGGCTCAACATCTCCGAGGAGCATCAGGCGGCTGCTGCTGCTGCTGCTTCTGCTGGCAGGAGACCACCGGGTGCCAAAGGTGAGCACAGAGCGTTGTCCTCACGTCGATCGGAGGATTTAAAGTGAGTCGATGTGTACGACAGCTGTGATCGTGTCGAACTGTATCGTGCACTGGAGGATATTGACCTTTTGTCATGGATTGTCGATGCTGTGCTTGTTTTCTGAGCTTTGCTGAAAATGTTGTCTCTCAAGTGTAGATCCCAGACCGATACTGGTTTATCACCATGGAGCCAAGTCATACAGGGAGTTTATGGTGCATAGTGCAGAAAAACGTTAAATGATGGTGTTTTTCTTTGGTATAAAAATGTAGATTAACAGCCATAGACTGTGTTCAAAAGATGCATGTAGACTCTGGGTCTCAGAAATGCAGCCAATGCCAAACTGTCATCCAACAACCAGCAGGGGGCGCCTCCTCTGGTTGCAAAAAGAAGTCTGAATGCCTACCAATCTATGACAAAATTACCCTTATTGTCCCTTGATTTGTTAACTCAGAAGACATTTTATAAATACTTTGTAGGCTTAATCGCTAGTATAAAGTCTCCCTCAGTACAACAAGATGTTTAATCAGTAAATTATGATCCCATTTAGAGGGAAACAGGCAATAAAGCAGGGTATGTTTTAGGTTGGTGTGGAATATCCATCCCTCAAATAATTCCAAACTACCATTTAAGAAGTAAATCCTCACATTTAAGAGGCTGAGACTTAGTAATACTTGTCATATTTGCTTGAAAAGTAATTTAAGTCATCAAAATAGTTGTTTAATAATTGTTCGATTCATTAACTGACGTTGGTTTTAGTGCTGACTCTTCCACAACCTAATAAATCCAGATTTTTTTAAAGTCCTAATGAGGAAATCCAAATACCATCAATTTCCCAAAAGGGGCTTAATTCATGTAGACAGTAAACCATAGGCACAATGATATTATTTAGAAATGCCTGTCATTCCTTCCATTATCCAGCAGGGGGCGCCTCCTCTGGTTGAAAAAAGAAGTCAGATTGTATAGAAGTCTATGGGAAAGTCAGCCTACTCCTCACTTGATTTACTACCTCAGCAAATATTTTCCAAATTAAGTTATAGGCTCAACTGTTCGCTTAAAGTGTCCCTTGGTACAGCATCATGTTCATTTAGTAAATTCTGATCCCATTTAGAGGAAGATAAGCGATAAAGCAGGATATGTTTTATGGCGACGGCTACACTCCAAACTTAAGGCTTTGAAACAGTCGTCCACAAACCAGTAGCTGAAGTTTTGATGGCTATGTTGGTTTCTTATTTATAGACTACGGTGAAAACTCTCACACTTTGTTAAAGTCTCAGGAATTCTGCAGTGCTGACCTTTTGCAGGGAGACTAATTATCACCGTTGATCGCTTTCTTTTTTAGACTTCAGTCCTTCCTCTGAAGTTTTTTCTTTATGTGGCGCTTTTCTTGACTACTTCATCTCTACAGTCGTTCCCCTTTTCAAATTGGCAAACAAATAAATGCTTGTTGACTTAAAATGCATCTCTACTGGTGTCGCCACAGATACCAGGTTTAATTTAATACATGTTTACCTGGTGTGGGTTGGCTCAATGAACAGACGGCTCCAATCTAACAGACATCTATTTATTCATCAAGGTCTCGCTTTAATATTGCTTTTTCTTTTATCACCAACAGAGATGTTCATCAAGCAATCACATAAAACAAAAAAATAAAAACAGTAAATCCTCACATTTAGGAGCTAAAAAGAAATAAAGACTGTTTGTCATTTTTGCTTGAAAAGTTGTTGAAAACCTAAAAATTCCAGAAAATATATACATCCTGATAAAAACACAATCACAAGAAATTGGATTTCCCAAGAGGGGCTTCAGTTGTGCAGACGAGACAATATTGGTGTCGACTTCAGAGGGGATGAAGGCTGATACGTTCCCCTTTAATATTTAAAATAAGTGCATTTGATGCAATATTTGCCTTAAATAGATTTTTTTTTTTTAGCACTGGGTCTTTATTTACTCTCAAAATATGAATTATACACATACAACCACTAAGTCTTTAGTGTAAAATGTGATTACATCCATCAATATAACATTATATGATCAATTGTCGCTTGAATTTTTACATAAATAAAAAAAAATTCCACCATAAATTGATGCAGAAAAGGAACAAATTGGTGCTTAAAAATTCAGCAGAAGGCAGGAAATGAAGTGTAAAAGTCTGCTTTATGCATCTCCAGCAATATTTAAACAAAATCAACACCTGTGCAACAAATAAAGCAGCCACGACACAATCCACACAATTAAAACGTGTGTGTTTGTTCCCACAGCCAGGCCGGTGTCTCTGGGTTTGCCCTCCAGGCCTCCCATGGTGACCTCCGGCGCCGCTCTGCTGAAGAAGAGCTCCACGCTGCCCTCTAGCTCCACGGCCAGGAACTACAGCCCGACGCCACCCCGAAGGTAGCAGATGAGTCCAAGCTGGTCATCCTCCGATCTGCTGCTAAATGAGGCAACGCTGTCAAACGTGCTCTTTTCCAGCGTTGTGTAGTCGAAGCAAAGGTTAAAATTGTTGCCTGACTTCTTTACCGCTCAATATTTTCTTAAAAATCACTGAGGTGTTAATGGGAAGCTGCTCTAATCAAACAAGCTTCAGTCTCAGATCTCAGGCTTCACTCCTCATTATCCGACGTGCAAAAAAAAAGCAATCAGCAGACAGCCTCCATTATCTAAGAAACAGCGCACATGGATGCTCAATAATTATTCCGGCACTCGCCTTTTCTTCCGAAGCAATAAAGCGTCTGCGAACCATTTTCTGCGGATCTCTTCCTCTCAATTACCTTTCAAATGATCCTGCTATTAGACAGCACGAGGAGGAGAGCAGGATCTCGGTGGTGCCTTAATGTGCTGCTGCTATTTCTGGGCTACGCCGATATAATTGCACAGAAAGAGGTAAATCTCCATTCACTTAGGGCCGTCCATTCATTACCAGCGAGAAGCAGAATCACAGCCATCATTAGCGGTTCATCTCCCTGCACTCTTATTTCACCTTTTTCCCGTGCGCTAATTAATCTTCTTCCTCTTTTTCTTCTGAGCCGTCTGTCTCTCAGGTCCAATGACCACACTTGTGTGTGTTTTTTGTTTTCTCTTTCCAGTGGTGTGAAAAGCCCGCCAGGTAGCGTGAAGGAAAGTCCGTGTAAGAGCACGAAAACACGACCGACGTCTGCGGCCTCAAACTATAAGAAACCTCAGGATGGGTAGGAAGCTTTCTCGCATTTCTAAACCTTCATACACGAGGCTTGACTTAGAGGCCTGAGCTGCTGTGTAGCTGTTTATCATTATACGATAAAA